ATACATGAGTAAAAACTGATTATACATTTGAATAAAATCCATATAAGATAAAGTACATTCAAAAATAATATCAGCGTCATCAATAAAATACATAAGATGGGAAATAAAATGCTTTTATACTAAAATGAGCAACTTGTTAGAATGTACGTGAATTGAATACATTTTAACATTATTCATTATCCTCTGATTTGACTGGTAATAATAAAAAAAAAGGGAAAAAAAAGGGAAAATTTTTTAAAAACTTTTAAATTTCAAATTTTATTAAAAAAACGTTTGTGTTTCGGGATTCCTCGACAAATAGAGTTCTCTATCTGCAAATCATATTTTGCCACGTTAACTTTGCTGTGATTGGTTGTTGAATCAGCCTTGCTCATATTTTCTCACGGCCTGCTCTCATCACAATAATATCCTCAATATCTCTGGTATTTGCTTTGAGTCACTTCTATTGCTTGTGTTGGGTGTAGACTCAATGAACCAGGCAGGATTCAGTAATCAATCTCTCTCTCTCTCCACCTACCACTATTACTCTTTCGAATTTCGACTCTGTCCCACCCACCCTATTGTTTGGTTGTGTGTTAATGCATTTTATTTATTTAAACGCATAAAAAACTTGGTACAATATGGCACCAAGAAGGATGCGCCACACAATAATAATAAAACAACATAGATCAAAAGAAAAAAAAAAAAAGAAGAGAACGGATAAAGAACTTCATCTGGAAGGAAAACAGTCATGCTTAACAAGTTCAAACAGTATTCGTTAACTATCATCGGGAAGGGAAGAAAGAAGGAAATTGCAACACGTTCGCCATTAATCACTGCGATTCTTGGCCATATCCGATAACGTTTCGAGCCATCGATTTGAGCTATCTCTCAGACCTCAACCAGCTCAGTTGGTAGTAAAACTAATCCTTCATTGCATCCGGGCTGCAATCCGTCGGTGCATAGGTAGAGACAACAAATAGACACCGCCTATCTGGCCTACTACTACTCCTAATCCTTACTTTTGTATAATTTTTCCAGCCTCACAGCACATAAACAACTGTTAATGGGAATCCAGTCGAGTAACAGCAGTTATCGGCCGGGGTGTTAATGCATGCAATGCCATCGGTGAGTTTTTTTTGTTGTCTAAATTACACATCTTCGTAGGATCAATCATTCTAACCTCAGCTATATTCCTATGTTCTGATAATTTCACTACTCCTGATCTACTAGTTTGACTTACCTATGTAGTTGACTTCACAGTCATTGTATCCATCGAATTCAGTGTGAGAAGTTGAATACCCCCATTGTCAGTCCTTACACAATAGGTATGAATCAGCTGGTAAACAAAACATCAGTTATGGATATTTCAGTTCAAACAAACAAACAAACAAACTACATGAAAAGTAAAACTTGCGACAGGTAAGATACCAATGTTTGTGATTTTTATTACTAATTTATTCACATTAAATTGAACCATTCCTTCCAGTTTATGGATCCTTTGAATAAATGTCCCGAAATTTGTTTCGCTTTATTAGTACAGTGGTATAAGTTTCATTCCAGTTAAGAAACCCCAGCCGAACGGCACAGAAAAAAGAATCCAGCTTAAAAGAACAGGACCTGATTATTTGACTTTAATTGCTTTTAAAGATGACAGTGGCTTTCGACTCTGAAACTAGATGTCTCTTGCTAAATAAGCTCTCCATGACACAAACTGAGTCCTGGGTCACTAACTGGTTGCATTCTTACTTCTCTAATAGAATGCAGTATACCGTATACAGAGGTAAATCCTCCACTGCTGTGCTCACTGAAGCTAATGTCCCCCAAGGTGCTGTACTCTCCCCACTTCTCTTTTCTTCCTTTCTTTCTACATGACCTACCTACCATCTTAAAATTACATTAATTTTGTCAAATATGCTGATGACCTAACTGTATCTTTGCCTGTTCAATGTCAAAGGGATTGCTCCAAACTAAATGGCTTTTTATCAGAAATCAGCCAGTGGTCCAAGGAAAACGGTCTAATCTTAAATCCCTCCAGATGCCAAACAGTCAATTTCACCTTTAGGCACAAATATGACATACACAAATTGGTTAGAACTCACGAGATGTGCAACATTGATGGCACTGAAATAGAAACCAAGTCGGAAATTAAATATCTTGGCGTCATTCTATCTTCTGATCATTCCTGGTCGTCTCATATCTTGATGATTTCAAGGAAAATATTCCGTCTTACCATCTACAATAAAAAGTTAAGACATCCTGGGAATAACCCAACCCTTACTCCTACAATTCGTTAACTGTCGCATTCTGCCTATTATTCTCTAGTGTGTCCCCTTAGTTTTTCCAGGGCTGGCTACTGAAGAAAGACTATACCTTATTACGTAGGATGTTAAATGTTGTCAGCACGGTAAGCCACAGAGTGCCACTTAACCAGCTTGTTAATATTCTGGTCGACACAGGCACTTGGACTCATGTGGAAAATGGGCTAAATCAATCTATTCCATCTAACTCACACCAATCACACTCTTCATTCACAACTCTCCCCTTGTATCTCATCAGGCAGAACCAGAGGCCTATATAGAAAACTATATGCTCGCACTAGCAAGTAAAAAAATTCAACCATACCCTACACAGCTCGTGTTCTGTGCGATAAAGAAAGCATTAGGCGTGATACCTTTAACTTATTAAATAGTCAGTAGAACAAATGGATCTTGTCTTTCCAACTCACATCATTTATAGGTACAACGCTTTTCTTTCTTTCTTTTCCTTTTCTCTCTCTTTTTTCTGTTATGTGCTGTTTTGTTTCTCTCTTCCTTACAAACTCTAATAAAAACATTCTTGTTCGTTCTTTCACACTCTGTATATCTCGACCATTTTGTTACCGCTTACGCCAGTAAATATGCTAGTAGTATCTACTTTCCTAGCACCTTCAAACACTCTGTTCAATTTCGGCTTTGCTACCGACATGCCAATATGTTGCTGTGATAACGAACTGAGATTACCCTTAATCTATGTGGAATTTTATTTATTGATAATGTACTCACTGAATGCAATACAGTAGTAAAATACTGAGAATGCCATTCTGTATCACAAATACTGTTTTAGAATAAAGCTATTATCATTATTATTAACTAGATGAACTAATGTAACAATTAGTATTGAATTCAATTTGGAATTTCCTGTTGACTGATTGGCCCGAAGTGTTCCGGCCAATTGAATTAAATAATTACTGATACCACGTGCAGAAGAGGTGGTGACTTTCGTGGCCCCAGTGACCTAGTGGATAAAGCTCTGACGTCTGAAAAGATAGGTCAGTTCAAGCCTCACTGGGAACACAAGCACTCAGTGGGAAATGCAGGTATATCCGGATGACGAGTGTCAGACAGGACGAAATGCGTATACTGAATTCCACTGCGCGATAGGTGTAGATCATTATTCATTCTTACGCATAGGAAGGTAAATGAATCATCCAACGATGACTGAAATTTAGCGTCCAGGATTTATAAACATGCGGACATTAAATGGGGCTGAGGGGAAATAAACTCCAGAAGACTCAGTAGGTCTTAAACACTGACAAGAGAGAATTGATCAGATTTTTATCTCTAAGCAAGTTCAAAATCACAAGCATTCAAGAGGGTGATTAGCATTGACGAAGACATCAACAGGAGAAGCTTATTGATAACATTTACACAAGTGACCAATTCCTTTTCGATCGAAACGCTGACAGGGCTTCAACAGCATATCCCCACTTCGTCCTGTTCTCTGTGGTCCCCTATAGTTGGACTCACGGTTGCCCATAGTCTCTAATCTCCTCTATATCATCATCATCATCAGACATCCTACTCAATTTCTACTCAAGCGATGGCCTGCATTGAACGTAATCATCACCCGTTGGTCTTCTCAGAGTGTTGCTGGTCCATTTTCATTTGCATCGGAATATTTATTTGGCAACAGTTTCTTTCCCATAGTTTCTTGTTGGTAATTCTTTCTGACCCTTTGTTATTCAATACGGACTCACACACACACAATAATAATAAAACAACATAGAACAAAAGAAAAAAACAAGGAAAAGAAAAAATATATAAGTAGAGAACGGATAAAGAACTTCATCTGGAAGGAAAACAGTCATGCCTAACAAGTTCAAACAGTATTCGTTAACTATCATCGGGAAAGGAAGAAAGAAGGAAACTGCAACACGTTCGCCATTGATTACGATTCTTGGTCATATCCGATAACGTTTCAAGTTATTTCGCGGACAATAATGTTTCCCGGCGGACAACTGCTACCTTACCGTGGTGGTCAGGCTTGAATACCGCAGTGACCCAACAAGCTAAACTGGCTGAAACTCATATCCCTGCAGGTTCTACCATATCAAGAACGTTGTTTGGATAGCGGTTAGACTAAAAGCAGTTACCATGGGGTACATGGGTCCCAGAATCCAATCGGATCAAATGGCGTATGAACCCATATGGGTCACTGGAAACCATGGGAATGCAGCTCCTGACGCTGCCTTTCGGATCAGACTGCAAGTCAAAGACTCAGGGGGTGGTCCCTTAAGAAAACCACCTACTTCAGTCTGGGCGCCCGGCGCCCGGACAGTATCTCAGCCCTCACACAACAAATGAAGTAAAACAACAAAGTGTCATTGAAATTTATCGCTTGTTAGTAGGACTTCGTATGAAAAGTATATCAAATCAAACTGTCACACTTTGGAAAATAATGCCTAAAACCCACGTAGACAACAAAATATAATGAAACTACACTGGACAAAGACGCATAGGAATGAGAACAATCACATGAAGACCGGCTAGTGAATGAAGGCTTTAACAACCACATCAACACAGAAAATCTGCACCAATTGATTCTTAGCGCATCCTAACGACTCTTTCAAGCAAGTCATTTGAATCAACCTATAGGCATTTCATCTCTAAATCCTAAAAAAAAGTATTCTATGGGGCTGCTCAGTGTGAGTTCACAAAGAGAGAGAGAGACAGACAGACAGACAGAAATAGATGCATGCATATGTATATACGTATTTATATTTCGCTTATTTTTTAAATACAAATGATTAATACACACACACACATGTATATCTATGAGATGGTGAATATTTCTCACTGGAAAGTAGGAATGAAAAGAAGAAGGCAAAGAATCGAGAGAGAGAAAAAGGGGAAAGTGTAAACGAGTACATCCACACACTGTAGAACAATAATCACATGACAATAAACACGGTGATGTTCAACAAAAGAAGAAGAAGGCGAAACAAAAAGGTGAAAAATGGTATCCACCACAGAAGAAAGGAACGGTGTATTGAACAAAGAAAAGAAAGGAGAAACTCCTACACATCCACATATACCTGAAGGAAAATGCTACATCAAAAAGATAAAGTAAAAACATGGCAGATCAAAGATGAAAAAAGGAGATCACATTCTCTGCTGTCAAAGAAGCAGGTGTACTGTAACACACACACACACACACACACACACACAAACCAGACACACAGAGATGCCAGGAACACGAAGGAACTAGAGACCTGAGAACAAAATATTGACAATAATAAAAATTATTATTATTATTCTAAAAGGAGTGTTACAGAGTGTTGTTATACACACATTCACACACACACACACACGGGGGGAATTACCAATCATCAATCAATCAATTAGGAGGAAAGGATCAAAAGGCAATGAATATATTTCACCATTTGTGACTAGCTTCCAAATGTGTCTATTTTTGATTTTTGTATGATGTTGTAGGTAGAGATACCTGCCTATCTACCTATCCATTCATCGTTTGTCAAATGATAGACGAACCGGAGCCGAGCGGAGAAGAGAAGAAAAACAACAACAACAACAAAATGAGAAATCAGTTTTTTGTTTTACGATAAAAATTTCTTCTTTCACATATTTCATACTCTATATTACTCAAAGAGTTTGCCTGGGTTGGCCGGGGGTCTATAATAGTATCCTTATTAAAATAACACTCCTATTGATGATAACGACGTGTATATACATACACGCACATATACACACACACACACTTACACAGTGAACATAAGGAGAAGAAAACGTCGAACATTTAGAGCGATACTAAGAAAGAAAAAAACAACAACTCTAATAGGTACTACTGATGATTAGTCTGTGAGTAGTATATAGATGCATGTAAAGGTTAAACGAGAAAAACCCTAAGAATGATGATCGCAGCTACTTGTCTGCTCAACATTCAAGTCGCTATGGTTATTAATATTGTTATCAGTATTTTTACAACATCTATACCCTATGAATTTTGCCAGTCATTACATCATCAAGATGTGTAATAGATATACAACAAAGATGAAATACACACACACATACAAATAAGAAGTACCATGGTGTACACACACACACACACAAGTGTCATGTGTGAGTCAAAAAGCGAAAAACACAAACAAGCGGAGAAAATTTTTGACGTTTTGTTTTTACGGTTCACACACGAACACACACACACAGAAACACACCGATGTCTAAATACTAAACAACAAGAGACATACACAAAAAGAAATAAACAACAAACACTGTAAAATTGTGGGGAGCAAAAGGATCGATGGGAAGTGAGATTTTGATTTTCCAGAATGAAGGTGTAATCAGGGTGGAGTGGGAGGTCAAACAACAGGTGAAAGAAAAACGTGAACCAACAAAGAAAAGAAGTGATTTCTCTCATGTGAGGGATGGATACAGACAGTGGTGTTTGTGATAACAGAGAGAGACACTACCATCAACAATAGAATGTTCCTTTTTTTCTAACTTATTATTGTTATTTACGCTTTAAAAACTAAATCTTCAAAACATATAATATAATAATAATAACAATAATTAATATTGTTATATAATGCAGATGTGTGTGTGTATATATAATATATGCATATGCACATGTGAATGTGTGTGTGTGTGTTGTGAACACCGAAGAGAGACCGGGATGATATTTAAGCGAATTACTAAGACGGAAAAGCATAGCCCCTTTTTTTGTTTCACATTACTCTGGTTGATTTCTGGTTGTTGTTGTTGTTGCCTTGCTTACACACAAGATTCTCTAATTGTCCGGTTGAGTTTTTAAATATTCATCAGGACGTCGATGTTGTTCAAGAGCACGAAGAGTACTCTGACTATGAGGAAGTTCAGATTTTCGTTGAATCATTGACAATTTATCACGACGTCTATCATTGATTATGCCACGAATTCCCGGCTGAAAAAAAACAAAAACAAATAAAAAGCATATTAAATTTGAGAATACACCCTAACCCATAAAAATGATGGATAAAAACAATCTGATTTACAAACTATCTTGTGCTGACTGTCCGACTAAATATGTGGGTCAAACGTCAAGATCACTCATCAAAATAAGAGTGAATGAACATAAACGCCTAACCGACTAAAGGTCAACCAACAGGAACACAAGCTTACAAGAATCTTGAAAAATATTCATTGATAACCGCACATGAATGGGATAGAAACCACAGTATCGATTGGAATAATGTGTGTATTTTAAAAACTAACACGAACAAATGGAAAGAGAGACTACTAATAACAGAATCTATATTCATTAAGGTCACACCGGATACATGTAACAAGGGTGACTCAGTGCAACTATCAACAACTTGGAATATAATTCTAAATAAAAACACATGAATGAACGTGAAATATAGTTCTGAACACACACACACACACACACAAAACATGAATGAGCAAAAAATAATAATAATGAACTATATATTTGAGTACAAATCATTGTGTGTAAACTATTGAAATATAATTATAGTTTATTTAATGAAAAATTCTCATTTTAAGTTATTTAGAACACATAAGTCAACTTGAAGATGTTAGCCCGTGCATCCTCCTATTAGTCAATAACAGGTTATAAAGGACTACTTGATCGATAAAGGAAATCTTTGCAAATTCTCAGAGGTTATCAATCTTCATTGACCATTGGATGAGTGATTAACCGACAAACAAGCCTGAGCCCTAGGTGGGAATCTCTGTTGTACGGCCAGGGGAGGGAGATCATGGTTGTGTGCCATTGAAGAGACTCAAACTACACACCAAAACAGCTGCCCTTTAATAACCCATTTCTCTTCAATGCTCCCCTAAATGATGTCAGTTCGTAATGATATCTACGCCTTGGAGTTATTCCTATCCCCTTGTCGCATTACGGTGCATACTACTGACAATAATTTATAAGTGATATACAGTAAGTGTGTGCGTATCTTCCACAAGAATTGTGAATACAACGAAGCAATGGATTAGCAAATTGAAAAGGGAAGGAAATGAAGGCACAATTATGAAGCAGAGTAGAGAAGGGGGATGAATGAAATGAAGAAGACTCGTGTGTGTTCTTCATTGCATAGAATTTCTCTCTTTTATTCGATAATAAAACCAGCACCTCATACTAATCATTCAGTACTACTTAAGGTACTTATTGATTACAGTGAGCTGACTGACTGATCGATCGTTGAGTCAATCCTGCATGAGAGATCGATGTCATCATTCTCTGTCGAATAGGTTGTTATAACGGATGACCATCAATGAATTTACTAATAAATTTTCGTATTTCCACGAACAGATGAATATGCAAGTCATCCTTGTTCTTCTAATATCCGAATACGAATTTTAATGTGCTATTACATACAACTAGAGCCAATATCTGTCTATCTGTTTACGACACTGAACTTTACACTGATGCGCGGCAGTTCAAGTCACCACATTCCATGTAACACACAAAGCAAGAGAAGAAAGTACAAGAAAAGCATAATACAGACAGTAAGCAGAGGTGTGAGACAAAGGAACAGTAATAACGAAGAACAATATAGTTCCATCACTGGAAATCATAAGTCACAGGGAGTGGATGCATCTTCGCCATTGAGAATGATTTTGAGCCATATCACCAATTGTTTCCAACAGTTGGTTTTTACCGTCCAGAGGACCCTTACCGATAGCTGCTACCTTGACGTAGTGGTCGGGCTTACCCATCGCGATGACCCAACAAGCTACACTAGCTGGAACATATGTTCCTACAGGTCCTACTACGCCAGGAAGGTTGTTAGGATAGCGATTACACTGAAAGCAGTTACCGGCATCATATAAGAATCTTTCTTACACTATGCTGGGGGTCTGCGGGCGAAGTCATACTGCTGGGGAACAGGGGTATAACAGTAGTGAGGTGTTTCCCTCAGATGACCAGCATGCCAGCCAGCTATGCTGTCTCTCCACTCCAGAGGGAAGGGGTTAGAAAAGGTTGACCCAAAAAATTGTACATCCCGACTTACCCTACGGTGGTCCGTAACCGGAGGTAAGTTTACTAATACGGAACCAATCCCAGAAACCAGTTCATACAGACCGTGTGTGACCAGCCTCAAGTAGTTGTCCCCTGGGCTCTGCAGTCACGTAACACTAACCCTTTCACTGTTTCAGGTACCCAAGAATTAATCAACCTCCACGGTGTGGGCAGCCGGGAAGTAACAACCACCCACAAACTTCCAAAAGCACACTTTCCTAGAGCCAATGAGCAACTCTATTTTGCGGAATTCAATGTCTACAAAATGGTATTAGGGTTAATTTTACGGAAGTAACTTTAACAATAAGAAATGTATAACACGAGCACAATACAACAATATAATATGGAGAGGAAAAAGTAGAATGATCGGGGAACAATATCATCAACAAAAAAACAAGATAGCATAATTACCCAACAATAGGGAATAAAAGAGGCCAAAGCAATAAAAAAAAATAACTATTGCTTACATTATCCTCGGCTTCACGCTGAAGATTCTTAAGAGAACTGCTGACATCTTCATCTTGACCAGGTTGGCCATCATCATTGTCCACAGGATTACTGCTACTATTACTACTACACGATGAAGTTCCGTTATTTACACAATTATCACCCATAGCCGCAGGAGACGATGACGTTGTTGTCATTAATACTGTTGTAGAATTGGATGGTTGTTGGTGTTGCTGTTGTTGGTCTGGACCAATTGCCTCTTTCATTACAACAGCATACAATGGATTACCTTTAGCAGCCTCCTGTAATGTTGCCCATATACGTTCACGGCGCTTAGCATCTTCACGAATTCTGAATAAGTTTGAAAATAACAACAACAAAAAATAACAAGTTGAAAGAAACTACACTAACAAGAATACAAAAGGTAGGCGCGTATGGCTAAACTAATAAGAACAAAATTTATACCATCAGTCAAGCGTACTCATCATGAGTAAGACCAGTGAATATTAACCATGGTTTTTAAGAAAACTAGAGGCTGGGGATTGATTCCACTAAGTCTTTGGCACTTTGCCCATGATATTGATTCCTTTGACGACTGTCCAAAAATAACCCCCCCCCCTCTGTTTATATATTAGCTGGGGTGACGTACAAATTGACGGCGGAAGCCATCCAGATACTTGAGTGAGTGAATGAGAGAAACCGAATGAGAAATGACAAGCTACTACGCATCTGACAGGGTGATATTGTGAGGAGATAAAACCTCGTGAGCGGTAATGCAGCCAAATGAAAGTAATAACATCGGAACCGAGTGCAATGGAGATGTACCGCTGAGGCATAAAATAACAACAATGCTAATATTAATAATATAAAAATGTCGGCATTCATAGTACAGCGTAGGAATAAACCATAATATTTTCATGGGGAATATAAATAGTCGGCATCATCCAGTGCCAATCACCACCAACGGGAGGGATTTGAAAGAGGTTACTTCATTCACTTATCCAGCTAGGGAGCATTGTCTCAACTACAGGCCAGAGGGACGGACGAGGATGTGAAATCGAACGAGAATCGGGAAGGCAGGCGAGAAACACATTCATCAACCTGAAACAACCAATCTGGAAATCTTCGTCACTCAGCCAGCATCAACAACAAAATTCGGTCGGATTTTCAATACAAACCTCAAGTCAGTCAGTTCTTCTATACGGATCAGAAACTTGGTGGGCGGGCGGGTCACAAAGAATATTTCCAACAGCCTGCTGCAGACCTTCATCAACCAACAACTGTCTTCGCTGGATCTATACTGAAGATCAGATGGCCAGGCCGGAATGAATCACCCACAAGAAACTATGGGAAGAAACAAAACAAGAACCAATCGCCAACCAACGAATATGCCGGAGAAAGTGGAGATGGATGGATTGGATACTCGCTCGCTGAGGAGGCCGCTGGGTGACATCACGCGCGCGACAGGCCATTGCTCGAGTGGAATCAGGCCGAAAGGGAAGCGGCGAGTGGGACGTCAATGCAAGGGTGACATTGAGGGGATCGTGTGAAGAGAAGGAGTTGAAACAGTATGGACTAACATGGATGCAGGTGAAAAGTACAGCAGAAGGAAGACAGAAGCAAGTGGAGACGTGCAGTTGAAGCTCTATGTTCCACTAGGAACCCAAGGGAACGATAATAATAATAAAAGTCCGTAACCACTTTGACATTAGTAAATCGATGAAATTAATCGAAACGCAAGGCAATACAATGTAAGGGTTACAGAATTCTTAAGAAAACACAATTAAACAAGACGCATATAGGAGACGCCAACTAACTTCTGTCTTTCTTCTTTATAACGTTGTGTACATGTGTCGAATAGCTTCTGATTCATTTCCATGAATAATTTCAACGCATTGTATACAAGACCGTGAATAGTTCTGAAAAAAAAGCGAAACAACAACAATAAGTCATTCAAAAAATCAATAAATAAACAAATACACTTAAAATCATAATGACAATAGTACGCACCTATATAAAAATAAAAATTTAGCCCATTCAAAGGGATAATGTATTCGGACCATAGTGAAAAGAAACTTTTCAACAACACTGATAGGTGAGGTCAATTAAGTGGGGATTACTCAAGTGTTGGTTTGCAAGGATTTCATTGGTTACAAGACTTCATCATGAGCCGACTTCAGTTAGAGAACCACTAGAAAACCATCAGGGAGTACTGGATAGCAGTTTCGTTCAAATGTTCAGGATTTTTCATCAGTACTCACCTACTAGCAGAGTTCAAATCCAGGACCTTCCGGTTACACGGTATGCTCGTAGACCATTACGATCAAATGATAAACCAATGAATTCCAACTTTTGCCAATTCTCGATATAGTGCGAGTGGCAGGTAATTGTACTCATACCCAACCTGGTGGGAAACCCCACTGGTCACTGGTCACGAATTCTCACTAGAACCCAGGTAACCATCTATCTGAATAGGGCCAGTCGTTTATGAGATCAGTATTTAAGTGTTGGTTTGCATGGACTTCATTGGTTTCAGGGGGTAAGTTAATGAAGGCGAATAGACGAACAAATGTTGAGGTTATTAGGAGTACACAATGACTTCTAGGCGAACCTGACCACAAACAAATCAAACTAACCTTACTGATATCTACCAGCACGTTAGTCACACTTATTGTAAGTGTGTGGGGGAAGGGTTGGTGATATTACTTAATCGCTCTAAACTCAATCAGGTGGAGAGGGATTTAAGGATCCGGAACTTATTGGCTGTAGTTGAGTGTTTACGCTGATGAGTCATATCACAATATAAACGGAACTGAAGAAGTGGTAATTCAGTGGCAATATCTAATGCATATCATTGATAACACAAGTCTATCATGAAAAATCAAGTTAATTACAATCGAATTTCTGCGAGAAAACCCTGATATCATTCAATGAAAATCTCGATCAGCCAAATCTGTAAAATTGATTTATCATTGTAAAAGCTTCACCCCCACCACTATCAGTAAGCAGGACTTAGTTCTGTCTGTCTGTCTGGATTCAACATAGAACTTGGCACCCAAGTGCAGAACTTCGAGTTGCCAAGTTCCAAATACCACACAAAGGTAGACAATAACATGAGTGAAGAGAATCAATAGAGTTTAACAAGTATAAGAGTGAAACAGAATGGGTAATGGTAGAAAGGTATATGAAAGATTACAGAGACTGAATACATCTTCGCTGGCCATTGACAACGATTTTGAGCCATGTCACCTATTGTCTCCAGCCATTGATTCCTAGAGTCAGTCCCGAGGGCCCCAACCCGAAAGTCTGCATCTCCCTCCCTCCTGACTCAGTTTAACTGTCAAGGATTTCATGGATTGATGGGGCCATGTTTTTGTTTGGCCACCACTTACTCTTCTCCAACCTGCACCTATATCAACTAGTAATCCCCGTCGGCGGTGGGAGGCGATGGTTAGGCATGCGCACCACGTCACCTAGCCATCTCTATCTATGTAACTTTATAGTCTCGTCGATTGATTTTCCCTGTTTGCCCAACACTATACGCCTAACGTCAACATTACTAACCTTATTAAACCACCTAACATGAGACAGAGATCGCAGACATCTATGATCGAAAGCAGTCAACCTTTTCATGTCTTCAACGCGTATTGGCCATGTTTCAGAGCCATAGAGAAGGACGCGGCGAACTGCAGCTGAGCAGTACACACGTCCCTTGGTTGATGGCCGGATGTCACGCCTACGCCAGAGATGGTGTAAGTCAGCGAAAGCAGCTCGAGCTTTTCGGTTCAGAGGTGAAACTGAATACAGGTTTTTTAATCATACATCATGAAGTAAGATGCACAATAACAATCATTTTTAAATATTTTCAAGTATTGGTTTTGTAAGGGGATTGTGTTTAATTGCATGGAGGATTTCATCATGAGCTGACATCAGTTTAGAGAACCACTGGAAAGTCTGGGAGCACTGCACAGTTGTTTCATGCTAGTTTGGGACTCTTCAGCAGTACGCACCCATCGGGGTTCGAACCCAGGACCTTTTGGTTGCAAGGCAAGCGACTTCGGCTTGCCAGTGGTTCTCTAAACTGATGTCAGGTCATGATGAAATCCTCCATACATTTTTAAATATACAAATAGCTATACTATTGATAATAGTACTATTATATGGTACGATTAGAATTGAAATCCAGGCGAATTATGTCTGATTTCAAAATAATCAGTTGAACACTACCCTGGTAGTGACTATTCACAGTGTTGAAGTAATGACAACTGTTGCATCCAATTCCCCATCTCCTTAATATATCGGGGGAGGCATGTGATATCTATTAACCCTTGTACGCAACAAAGGTGGCTTATTTTGCAAACAGTCTGTCTGTCTGGATTCAACATAGAACTTGGCACCGAAGTGCAGCAGTTCGAGCTGCCACCTTCCAAATAGCACACAGAGGTAGACAAGAACAGTCTGGGAATGAAGTCAAAAAAAGTTACATGTATCCCCAAATAAGAATGAATGTTTATCTAAGATTTGAATCAAAAGCATACATTGAATAAAAAGGCATAACACCAGCCGCCGATTTTTTTTTCAGAAAAATAAAATATGAACTGTTATCATCAACTGACATGTTTATATACAGACTGATAAAAACTCAGTCCCTGAAGACTAATGATAAAATTTTAAAAATAACTCAGAACAAAAAAAGGAAAAAAAAACACATTGATGATTTGTTTGATACAGCATGGCTATCATGAGCCCCAGTAGCATAATGCGGGTTAATAGTGACTGACTGACTGACTCGTATCAGCATACAACTTTGCACAGATGTGCAGTTGTAACGACAGAAGACAAGGGCCAGGCAACAGATCGTTTATTAAGGAAATCAACACGTATTTATTGATTTTCATGTACATATTGTAGATTATTGTTGGCAGAAAAATATAGTCTTCTGATTGGTTGTTTCTCACTGAAAGTTGATTATTCAACTCTTTCTGGCTGTTTCTTGAATGTCAGATCATCTATATGCTAACTGTATCCGCCCACGCAAAGTCTGCTGTGATTGGTTGTTGAGTCAGTCTTTGTTCTTATTTTTCTCACGACCAATATTGGGGATGTAAACATTGACGTAAATTACTATCTACTAATTGGCTAGTAGTCATCTCTCACCAGACAGTAATTCAACAACTTACCACTCTCCATGTATCACACAAAGGAACAGAAGAGCATAAAGAGAGATCCAACAAGTGATAATTAAACACAAGCGTGAGTGACAGAAAAAGACTAGTAGTAATATGTAAGAAGGACAATCGACTTTTATTCGATATGACAAATCATCTCACAAAAAGTGAATGCATCTTCGCTGAACGATTTCCACTGAGAACGATTTCCAACCATATCACCGTCTGCAAGCATTCGTTCTTACCATCCCCAGGACTCCAACCAGCAAACATCTCTACACCTTCCTAAGTGGCTAGCAGGATCAAAATAAGTGTTACCGAATTCACTGACTGATGAAGCCATGTCGATTTCAATTTGACTACCGATGCTAACTCTTTTCCAACTTCATCGATCCTGTGTCAGCAATCGATGGCTAGGGATGCATGCATAACACGTGTTAGAGTCCTAATTCATTTAAATAAGGCCTTTTTATATCTTCCATTCTGAATGACTATATCTCGCTCACAGACATAAAGGAGGACAGAGACAATTGTTGCTGTGTAGTACAGTGCTCAACAGCCGACCAGACATTATACCGACTAAGTCAGAGATGGTGTAAGTTGAGCACGCTGTATACGAGCTAAGATTTCGTCAACCGCCTACCCCCATTGAGATCGATGCAACTTCCTAAATAAATGAAGTCGTCAGTCAACACTCCCTCCCCCCACTTCACTGTGTATCTTTAAGCTCGGAGACTATATAGTCCAGTCGTGTAGCATGATCTGGACGATATGGCTAAAAATCATCGTTCTCAGTGATGGCTGGCGCAGATGCATTCACTCTTTTTCAAATGATTTGTCGCACCCAATAAAACTCTATTGTTCTTCTTCCATATTACTACTAGTCTTTTTCCGTCACTCACACTCATGTTTATTATGTCTTTCTCTTGTCTTGCTTTGTGTGGTACATGGAGAGAGAGAGAGAGAGACAGAGTGACAAGTTGAACTTGTGCACACCCGTGGAAAGTAGTTCCATGTTGAAACTAGTCAATCAGCCAGACAGTCATGATACTTCTTTAACTGGGGTTAATAATTTCTATACTATGATAGAAAATAATAACAATCTTAAGAAATACTTATGTAATAACTCATCAAATGAAAATGCCTTTAGTACTGCTTTGCTTTTATTTTTTATATTTTCAATGATATACGGGAATGACATGATTGTTTGTGAGTGTGTGTGTGCGCGTGGGTATGCCCATGTGAACATTTATCTTGCGAAGTATCTGTCATGTCGGGGAAAACATATACAAAAAATAAAGGGGCAAACTGTAACGAATTTCCCCTTAGTCTGTCTTGTGGTTAATCAAAATAGAGTCAACTGCATCTTTAAGTGTTAGGCAGATAAATATGTGTATATGTATGTATCATGTAATGATGAGGAGAGGGAACAACACTTTAAAAAAAAAAACAGACAGACAGACGAAATGCAAAATGGTTTCATTTGAGAATATAAAAAAGGGATAAATCTTATTTATATACAACAGTACGCGTTGCATTATAGCACATAGCGGTATAGCAGGAGAAAACGCCAACAGACAGCAACTTCGGGAACTATCATCATCATCTACTTGTCAAAATATGAAAGTTATGCTGGTTATTAGACTGACCAGTCGAATATAACATGACGATTAATCAAAAAAAAAAGGGGAAACAGACAGGGGATAGTAAAAAATGAAATAGCCACATAAATTTTCCATTTTTTTTTGTTT